TTATACACATACTTCTTCAGCATTCCAAGCCCTTGAGGTTCATTGCCCGCCTCCACTCACCTGGTTGGCTTTATCTTTACAGTTGGTAACACCAAGCGCTTGCAGGTCTATCTGGACATTATCTCTATATCGTCTTCTTGGTCTGCCTCCTGGTCTACGACCATTCATATCATTTGTGTATACAGTTTTTACCTCTCAGTCATCTGACATTCTCTCAATATTCCACAGCCATTTCAACTTATTAGCTCGAATCGTGTCAATGATTAATAGTGATTAAACCCTTTATACATACGCCCTTCCATTTTTCCTCTGTTGAACAGTGGTAGGAGTGTCTCACAGTGAAAGAGACTGGGATTAAAGATAACAGTACGTGCAGTTTGGCAAACTAATTGCAGAGACAGATGAGGTTTAAACCCCACTAGGACCGCACACTGAGCGATTAATACCCGGTTTCACAAAGTGCGGTGTGTCCTTACTCAGATGGAAATCACCCAAGCACAAATTCCAGAAACCTCGCACAACCATAAGGTGCTACTGGGGCTCCCGACGGTTATAATGGGTACTTTACTTTTTAATTCACCCCAAACAAAAGCAATCCCGGAGTTACCTGGAAAGTTAAACATTCTAGAGGTGTTATGAGTTGGGGTTAGCGGCTAGGGTTAGAGTTAGTGTTATGGGTAGGGTTAGACTGTGTCTCTGAGGCGGTAAGAGCTGACACAGATCATAACCCTAACTTTTACCCCAACCTCTATGCCCCCCCCCCCAGAATTTTGGACTTTCCCGGAAACTCAGGTTTTTTCCTTTCTGTAGAGTGAATTAAAAATAAAGTACCTTACAATGTAACATGAAGTGCAGAAGGGATAGGGCGTCATAATATTGCGGAGACAGCCAAGAAAAAACATAAAACCACAAGGGGACTATTTTCCATCATTAACATGGCTGCTTTAGGAAAACGACGTGTTTCCGGTCACGTTGACACACTTGCCATCTAAAAAGTCGAATCTCCGCCAAGAAGCTTCGAAACAAAGATCTAAAACCAGGAGCGTGGACAAAACTGCCAGCTAAAATGTAAAGAATGCAGGTTTGTCAGCACTGGCAAATGGCTGTTGAAGAAACAGCGATGCACTATATCCCCAGTTTAGTGTGTGCATTAAAAGCAACTTAGAAAGCTGATGAAAGCGGCGGTCATCTCCGGAATGCCATGGCAGAGGTAGCAATGTTGCACACACAGCAAAGTTGTGTTTCTCGAGCAGCCAAGTTGTGTTTGCTAGGCTGCGATAGATGGTAGGAATGTAAAACATTGGATGCGGGGAAATCTTTGCAACAGCTTTCCTGTCTATTTGGGACAGAATGATCGTTGGCATATGTTTTAACAGAGGGATAAACAAATACTGGGGGTGTAGGGGTTGGGGTGGGGGTCGTCTTTACTAGTCGCATTTACGCTTTAGGGCAGTGTGTTGGACGGGTGAGGTGGGAGGGATCTTGAATCTCAGGCTGTAGGGCAGTATGGCTGGTGAAGTTGCTCTAAAAATGTACAGGTTAGGGAGTTATGGACATGAAGTGCAAAAGGGATAGGGCTTCCCTTCGACCGGGAAAAAAAAAACTTTTATAACCAAAACTTTCCAACCCTGATTTCCCTTATGAGAGCCCATGGTGCTTTTCCGTTCCGTTTTTGCTGGGGAAAACATTGACAAGTTTAACCAGCATCCCTAAAGGGATGTTTATAATTGTGACTGGGTTACTGTGAGCTATCTAAAATGGCTTAACACTGCCCGCTGCCAAGTACCTTTGATAAGGACTTGTACTGCGATCAAAAGAGAGAGACCCAAATACTGTCCCAACGACGAAGAAGTCGTACACCGGCAAGCCAATGGCCAACCCGGTCGCCGATAATGGTGCTAACCACTCGGGCAGGCGTGTTCAAACACTGACGTTTGTAACTTACTACTTGTCATTTGTAACGTCATTATCCTCATCATGATGATTTCCTTTTTATTGATTATTTGTTGTTTTGTTCTCCTTCTTCTGATCTTCCACTTCCCCCTGAAGTTGCTGCAACTACTTTATTGTTGCTTTTGCTCCTACTTTCTGTCGGGCTATCTTTCTGACTTTCTCTTTTTCTCTCTTATTTTCTTTATTTCCTTCCTTTCCTTTTAAAATTTATTTCTTTTAGAAAACTGAAATTAGCCAAAATAACAAGCTTCGGCTCCCCTCATTCGGTTCAGACTGTCAGGCTATTAGACCATCAGTCAGGGTTTCAACTTAATCTCACACACGGCACCCCAAATTTCTCCGTTCCTGTGTCAGTGAAAAAGCACATAAAATGCCCATCGTTATCCCGTGTAAAAAGTCCAACATACAGTAGGCCCGGAAAATCCAACAGCTCGCACATGCTTCAAATGTACAAGAAAGCTAACACTAAGGCACACTGCCTATTCTGTAGCAACCAGCCACCCGCCATTTCTGGATATGTAGTTAACAACACAGATCTCCGTGAGCAAAAACAATCGGAATTCTTCGTGAAATTCACAGCTCTTTGTGTAGCATTATGCACTCAAGGCAGTAGCTGGTCGACGGAACATCCAGGTATGGGGAAAAGATCCTTTATTTACTAAAACAGTAGTACATGACCGACCCATATACTTGATTCCTACAATCAGCTTCAATGCAAGAGTGGATACATAATATACTCTCTACAATCGGATTCTATGTAAGAAAAAGATACAGGGTTTTCTTTCCACTGTCAGTCTCATTAAATAAACGGAGACCTGACTTACTAACTTCCTACATGTAATCTCAATGTAAGAATGGACATATGATTTACTGTCTTCACATATTTTGCATCAATGCAGTAATCGACATATAACCTCCTCTCTTTATACAACGACTAAATGCAAGAATTGACCTACTTCTTTAATACAATCAGCCTCAATGCAATTATAGACACAAGACTTATCGCTTTCAGAAAAGCGGTCTCAGTGCAAAAATGGACACATGACTTTCTTCATACAGTTAGCCTCAGTGCAAAAATGACGCACAATTTACTCTCGTCTTATACTTAGTCTCAGTATAATAACAGACACATGGCTTACGCTCTTCCTAAAATCAACACAATTGCGATTATAGATATATGACACGCTCTCTTCCTACAATCAGTCTCAAACTAAGCATTTAGTCATGAATTACTCTCTTCCTACAATCAGTCTCAAACTAAGCATTTAGTCATGAATTACTCTCTACCTACAATCAGTCTCAAACTAAGCATTTAGTCATGAATTACTCTCTTCCTACAATCAGTCTCAAACTAAGCCTTTAGTCATGAATTGCTCTCTTCCTACAATCAGTCTCAAACTAACCATTTAGTCATGAATTGCTCTCTTCCTACAATCAGTCTCAAACTAAGCATTTAGTCATGAATTACTCTCTTCCTACAATCAGTCTCAAACTAAGCATTTAGTCATGAATTACTCTCTTCCTACAATCAGTCTCAAACTAAGCATTTAGTCATGAATTACTCTCTTCCTACAATCAGTCTCAAACTAAGCATTTAGTCATGAATTACTCTCTTCCTACAATCAGTCTCAAACTAAGCATTTAGTCATGAATTACTCCCTTCCTACAATCAGTCTCAAACTAAGCATTTAGTCATGAATTACTCTCTTCCTACAATCAGTCTCAAACTAACCATTTAGTCATGAATTGCTCTCTTCCTACAATCAGTCTCAAACTAAGCATTTAGTCATGAATTACTCTCTTCCTACAATCAGTCTCAAACTAAGCATTTAGTCATGAATTACTCTCTTCCTACAATCAGTCTCAAACTAAGCATTTAGTCATGAACTACTCTCTTCCTACAATCAGTCCCAAACTAAGCATTTAGTCATGAATTACTCTCTTCCTACAATCAGTCCCAAACTAAGCATTTAGTCATGAATTACTCTCTTCCTACAATCAGTCCCAAACTAAGCATTTAGTCATGAATTACTCTCTTCCTACAATCAGTCCCAAACTAAGCATTTAGTCATGAATTACTCTCTTCCTACAATCAGTCTCAAACTAAGCATTTAGTCATGAACTACTCTCTTCCTACAATAAGCCTCAAACTAAGCATTTAGTCATGAATTACTCTCTTCCTACAATCAGTCTCAAACTAAGCATTTAGTCATGAATTACTCTCTTCCTACAATCAGTCTCAAACTAAGCATTTAGTCATGAATTACTCTCTTCCTACAATCAGTCTCAAACTAAGCATTTAGTCATGAACTACTCTCTTCCTACAATCAGCCTCAAACTAAGCATTTAGTCATGAATTACTCTCTTCCTACAATCAGTCTCAAACTAAGCATTTAGTCATGAATTACTCTCTTCCTACAATCAGTCTCAAACTAAGCATTTAGTCATGAATTACTCTCTTCCTACAATCAGTTTCAAACTAAGCATTTAGTCATGAACTACTCTCTTCCTACAATCAGTCCCAAACTAAGCATTTAGTCACGAATTACTCTCTTCCTACAATCAGTCTCAAACTAAGCATTTAGTCATACTCTTCCTACAATCAGTCTCAAACTAAGCATTTAGTTATGAATTACTCTCTTCCTATAATCAGTCTCAAACTAAGCATTTAGTCATGAACTACTCTCTTCCTACAATCAGTCTCAAACTAAGCATTTAGTCATACTCTTCCTACAATCAGTCTCAAACTAAGCATTTAGTCATGAATTACTCTCTTCCTACAATCAGTCTCAAACTAAGCATTTAGTCATGAACTACTCTCTTCCTACAATCAGTCTCAAACTAAGCATTTTGTCATGAAATACTCTCTTTCCACAATCAGTCTCAAACTAAGCATTTAGTCATGAACTACTCTCTTCCTACAATCATTCCCAACCTAAGTATTTAGTCATGAATTACTCTCTTCCTACAATAAACCACAAGGGAAGAATAGATACATAACTTTCTTCCAAAGGTCAGCTTCTATACAAACAAGGCACATGACTTACTCTCTTCCTACAATCAGCCTCAGTGCCTCGAGGTTCCCTGTATGCGCAGCCCACAAGGTCGCTGTCATTCCGTCCTCGTCGGGCGCGTTCAGGTCTCTTTTGGTAGCTTCTTTTAAGATGTCAATGTATCCATCTTTGGCTGCGTTGATGTAACGGTCTGCCATTTTTTCCTCTAGGCCTGTCTGTCTGCTCACAACGTCCAATCAATTACCTCCTGTTTGATTTTAAATGTATAAACAACAATATTCGTACACTGAAATAATTTAAAATGCCAAATATATGTTTGAAATGTGATGATAATAAACATTTTTGGCAACTGGGGTAAGAAAGAGAAACGATAAATTAATAGTCCTGTACGACATAATTGTTAATTTGCAGTGGGTTTTTCTTCAGCCAACAGCCCCCCCCCCCTCCCTCCCCCACCAAACCCAAACGGGCGCCTGAAACCCACACGGGATCAGTGACAAAGAACTTCAAGTCGAATAGGTGGGCTTTCATGAGGGTCGACCTGCGGCTGATTTCTCTCGTCTGTGTCAATGTTGGTATCTTTCAGGCTGCCTTTGCATGAGCCCTAATAACGTAGCCTTGGTCTTTTCTCAGATCTTTTTGTAACAGAGTAAGGTCATAGCTTGTTTGTTAGAAGGCACAAAGCTAGGACGTACCGGGATCAACACGTTTCTCGCCAAAACTAAATATTGACGTCATCACTTGTTTGTCGGGAGTTAGAATTTTGCTTAGTACTTAATTGGAAGAAAGTCAACAAGTCTTGTGAATAATATTTTGTAAATAGTATTTGACGTCATTGTTGGCCTTGCTCTTTCAGAGAGAGCGTAGTAGCACTTGTTTTGTAGGAGTCCATTGACGTCAGCTGTCAATTTAACTACTATATTTGCGCAGAATAGGATGATGAAATCTGATGCAATTGAGATATAATAAGAAAAATCCCAAGTGAGAACGCACATAGTAAACATGTTGCGACTTACTAGAATATTCTAAAGCAGAAAAAAGCGAGAAGAAAACAAATACCAAGCATTCCAGCATCCAAGTATAAATAATGAGTATCAAAGCACTTTAGCAATTCTTCAGTCCACAAGACTCAAGAGAGGAGGGGTTTTATTATACAAGCATCAGAGTTACGTGAGAAGCATGTACCTAGCAAGGCATCATCATCATCACCAACACTAACGACACGACCATCGTTATCCTCGTCTATAATCTTCCAATCGACTCTCCCTGTAACAAATCTTAAGACGACCCTGGGTGTGACATCAACGTACGCAACAAAGAACATAGCTGTGCTATATTTTCACTGTTTCAGGTTCACCATGCAGGAGATCATTTAAAACGCGACCGATCTCCAAGCGGGAAACATGTCCCAACGATTAAAGACGTCTTTGCTTCAGAAGAAAGTACAATAAACTACTGAACCTAATTTTGACATCTTGTATTCTGTTTGTGGACTACGAAAAGGCCTTCGACAAAATTTATATGGGATCTCTCTAGAAACTGATAGCAAAAGTGATATATAAAAACATGCAGTGCCGATGCATTTTGTCACCTCGATTAATCTTACCGACTATTTGCTGAATTATGAAGATATCGACAACAACCACCAGAAACTGCATTTACAGACCCCGACAGAGGAGTTCATTTATCTGGACTTCGAAGTTATTTCTCCTTGTTCCACTCACAAAATCAAAATCAAAATAAATCAAAGATACTCAAAGCGAGATCGCGGCAAGTTAGGTCGCACAATCCATGGGAATTATAAAGATAATGGGAATAAATCAGACAAACAATAAATCAATGCCAGTCTGGTATACCCTGAGCTAAGGAAATGAAGACTTACTCCAGTTTAGGCAACAATGTAGAGATAGATGGAGGAACGGAGACATTCAAATTTAAAAACAAAATAAAAACAAAGGCAAGAGGATTTTTTTCATAGCACATGGAAATATATGAAAGTCAAGGGAAAATTAAAACAAGTTGGAAAAATTTAGAACTTTAAACAATTGTCCTCTGACATTTGTAATCTATTATAATTAAGACTTATAGTATAAAGTCTTATAATGAACTGCAGGTAACACTAATAATCTGTTATATATTATGACACAGTTAATAGCCAAAAATGTTAGACAGACATGAATATCAATTAACTAAAAAGACGACCCTTCTCCACTATGTGTGTGTGTGTGTGTGTATATATATATATATATATATATATATATATATATATATATATATATATATATATATATATATATATATATATATACACACAAGAAATTCTCGTTAACACGAATTCTAAGTGACCGAAAAATCGAGAGTTCGTAAAAATACGTGCATAAATATGTATTATAAATGTAAGATTCTTGCCGGAAATAAACTTCTGTTTGTCTTAAACGAGTTCACGTTATCCACGCTGTACTGTATTCCAATTAAATTAGGAGAAAAGACGAATAGTAAATCTATGATAACATAGCAAGTACAATAAGATACTACTGAACTCTGATGCCCACAAATGCTCAGATATTCTCCTCGGTGAGAAAGTGTTCTGTGTCCTTTTTATTTCTTCAGCTTGACTATGTGGCAGCTAATATCAGGGCATTCCCGTCAAATGGCCAAACCATCTCATCTGCTGCTTTGTAATAAACTGTAGGACAGGTTTTAGTCTTAATCTTCTTTCAATTTCTTTATTTTTAATTTAATCTCTTATTATTATTACTCTATTGGCTTTGCTGAGAATCTAATCTTTGTTATTACAATTTTAAGTTCATTAGTTGTAATCAGAGTATACATCTGACTCTAGTAGCATATAGTTAACCAATAAAGTTCGTTAAAGATTTGCATCAGTTGACAGAGCTATTTTTGTTTTACAATGTCTCGAATGAATAAATATGAAGTTTGAAAATTTAATTTCAACAATGGATCAACATCATGGCACACGGGTAGTAACCCATAAGTGCTCCATTCTTCTTCTAACTCAAGTGTGAGTCCGTAAAAGCTCAGCACAGTGAACAGGCTCTGTAGCATCGGCGAGGATCCTGAAATACTTTGGGTAGATTTTTAACTCCAAATGTTTGCCCGGGCAGCGCCGTTAGGCTACTCTTTTTGATTTCCAACTGCCAAGATTTTTTTTTACGTGAGCGACAGTGCACACCGGCGTCCGATCTCACTACCCAGAGATGTCCCCCGTGTGGGTGCCAGGGCCCTTTTATAAAGAAAACAAGAATAGACCCACTGCCTACCCAAAAGCATGTTGTAAGAGTCGACTAATTGGGAGCTTCCTTCGAAGTCGAAGTGCATTTGCCGGAGAGACAAGAAACCAACAGTCTGCACACAAATGTGTCAGATCTGTCAAATGGATGCACACGCAACACTCAGGTTCTGGAACAGGACTGCAGTCCAAAAGCAGACGAACAACCAGAACTTTTCACCACAGTTTACAGCTGGTGAACGCAAAGAAGAAGAAGACTATCCAGAGGCCAGGGGAAAGGGGGGGGGGGGATTTCTAGAAGTCCAAGTCCATGTGAAAAAATCCAAGCACTTACCAGGGATTGAACCCGGAACCTCTAGCACTCGAGGCGGACACTATGCCTGGAGACTGCGCAGCCCCCCCCCCCCCCCCCCCCCGAAAGAATTAATAATCCTCCCCAACAACCCCCCTGCATAACTAAGATGTATGACATGCGGCCTGCTGTAACCAATAACTACGATAAACATCTCAGACACGTGTTTAAGACAATCGTTTTTTCGCTGAAAAAAATTAAGAAGACTATTACTCACAAATCGTAAACGTGGCAGGATATGATATAAGGAAACAACACAGTCCTAGGTCTATCACACATCCGCGTCCACGCAGTTCTGGATTCACGCCAGGAGCAGTGCACTGCAGCCACTTTTTTCTTGGGATCATTCCCTTAGATTTACGCCAGCCAACATTTTTGAGTGATTACTGACCTGTTCCTCTGTTCATCTCGGCGTCTGTGACTTAGGCGTTGCGAACGAGCTCCGTAATGCCGGGTTCAATCCCAGCTGCGGACCCTGATCTTTCAGGGCAATGGCAAACTACTGAACGCAAAATTAGCCTTTAAAAAAAACAGTACCGTTGCACTTCAATTCCCAGGATCACCAAGGTGTCCTCGACATGGAGGTAACAGCCATTAAATCTAGCCATTCCAGCGACAGAATCCGCAAGTCTCTTGAGAATCGCTTTATTTATACTTTGGGGACTTTAAAACCCTCGGGACTGAATTACCAACACAGTTTCATTTAAACGCCTAGGAGATTGAACGCCCTCAGTTTTATCTCTAACCCCCTAGTTATGGCCCCTGGTACTCCACAGGGAGGGGGTATTCCCCTAGCCGACACGTGTAGGCATTCTGCTGAGAAACCACCGACCCGGCTGCTTTGAGATACCAGCTAAGTGATTTTGTGTATCTGTGTAGTATCGTTTGATTTTTTAAGAAGAAGAAGAAGAAGAAGAAGAAGAAGACGAAGACGAAGACGAAGAAGAAGAAGAAGAAGAAGAAGAAGAAGAAGAAGAAGAAGAAGAAGAAGAAGAAGAAGAAGAAGAAGAAGAAGAAGAAGAAGAAGAAGAAGAAGAAGAAGAAGAAGAAGACGACGACGACGAAGAAGAAGAAGAAGAAGAAGAAGAAGAAGAAGAAGAAGGTGAAGAAAAAGAAGAAGAAGAAGAAGAAGAAGAAGAAGAAGAAGAAATAATAAAAAGATGATGAGGGGAGTATACTATTAAATATTTTACTTTACACTAAGGATTCTGTATGACGCTTTATATACTGTGTATTTGTGTAAAGTAATAGCCCCACCCTTGCATTGCCCGCTGTGCTTGTTGTACGCTTGAGTAAATAAAGGACTCTTTTCCGCGTCTACAGGAGTACTGGGCATATAGGGCTAGATATATATGTTTATTTTTCTTAACGGCATTCAGCGGGTGATGTGATCAACATCACGCCGTCCGCCTTTACTGCCCAGGGCTTTACGTGGTACAATTTTAAGGCTGGTTTGACCGCGGAAGTCAGTTTTGAAAAGAAAAAAAAATAAGTATCATCGGGTATCGGATGCGAAATTTCTAAATCTGAAATGTGAACCACTTTATAAAACCACAAAGTCGGGAATGTCAAAGGTTACATTTATCACCTGTTCT